GTTTAGGGGTTTAGGGCTCAGGGTGTAGGGTTTAGAGTGCTAAGGTTATGTTGACCTCTCGGTCTGCCCCAGCTGACGTCGGCTCACAACTGGGTTTAGGGCTTTACGATGTAGGGCTGATCGGTGGGGAGTTAGTTAAAGGAACCTACAGGTGGGGAGTTTAGGGTATATAGGGCTTTTATTAAGCTTGTATAAGGCTCCTATAACGGCAACTACCCACCTGAAAATGTCCTAGACTTAGTAGCTCGGGTAAGAAGTGCCTTGATTAGGATGTTACGCAATTATAAGTGCAGCTGCCTTAGTTCTAACCCGAGCTACTAAGTCCTATGATCCTTGTAAGCATGCTTTAGGTTTCAGGCTTAGGGTTCAAGGAACCTCCAACCAGTCAAACGCTGTCCAAAATTGCATTCGGAATCCCTAAACCCTAAACCCTAAACCCTACACCCTCTCGTCAGGGTTGTTTCACAGTTCTGGCAGGTCTGGCAAGGTTTTTTTCCAAGCTTAATATAGGCTTTCTAAACCCTACCCAGGGGAAGCCAGGGTTCGGTTTAGGGTTTAGGGTTTAGGGTTTCGGGTTTAGGGTTTAGGGTATAGGGTTTCGGGGTGAGGAGCCAAAACAACTGAGTTCAGATCCTATCCCCGGACCCTAAAACCCTAAACTCCTAAGCTCGAAGCCCTAAACCCTAAACTCTGAAGATACCTAGGGAAGATCCCTGCCAGGGTCCACAATACAGGGCCTCCGATTTTCGGTTGCGGTTTAGGGTTTAGGGGTTTAGGGTACAGGGTCGGGTTTCAAGGTTTCGCGTGTAAGGTTTAGGGTGTGGGGTTTAAGACTTTGGGGTTCAGGGCTTAGGGTATAGAGTATAAGGCTTTAGGTTTGACGAAGGGTTCAGAGAAACAACTAACTCGTCACAACACCCCCTTTTGCAGTCCCCATGTATCTCTACTATATTACAGCCCCCCGAAAGCCTGGTCGGAAGACGATCCGCAAGAGAAAAGAAACAATCAACGGCTAAACCCTAAACCCTAAACCGAAAACCCTAGGGTTTAGGGTTTAGGGTTTAGGAAGATGTAGAAAATCGCCTGGCTGGTCGTCCGACTCCGGGAGCGGCGGCAGCAGAGGAAGCAGCTTTGTCTCGCAAAGGGCTGGGTTTATGGCTTTTGGGTTTAGGGGGTTTAGGGGTTTAGGGGTTTAGGGGTTTAGGGTTTAGGGTTTAGGGTTTAGGGTTCTAGGGTTCTAGAGACTCCCCAAACACCGTGTGAAAGCACCGCTTTGTTTTGATGGTGAAATCCCAAAGTACAAGGGCAACGCAGTGCTACTGAGGGCACATACCCAAAGCTTTCCTCGAAGGCCCTCAATACCTAAACCCTAAAACCTAAACCCTAAACCCTAAACCCTAAACCCTAAACCCTAAAACCTAAATCCTAAACCCTAAAACCTAAACCCTGAACCCCGAATGCCTCTTTTAGGGTCTTCATGCCCGGAGGGCTTTGCGCTTTCGGTTTTTTTGCGGGCTTTGAAGGCCGTGGAGTTTAGCGCCTTCGGGCTGAAGAGCTTTAGGGTTTCGGGTTTAGGGTTGAGGGTTTAGGGTTTTTAGGGTTTAGGGTTTGGGTTTCGGGCATGGGATCGAAAGCACCCTGAGCCCTAGAACCCCTAAACCCCCCCCCCGAAAAAAAAAAAAGACCTCAAAAACCATAAACAGAGGTGCCTGCAGCGCGACTGCGGGTTCTTTCGGGCTTGGGAATGCTTGGCAGGGCCGGAATACACCAAGTGTTTGCCGGACGTGCGAAAGGCGCCTCGGGGGGCCAGAGTCTGCCCCTGCAAAGGTGATCCACGGACCGCCTTTCTCTCGGGGTGGGCTGGTTGTTTATTGGCGTCAGCAGAGTCGTCCGCCTGAGAGCCCCAACGTGGCACTCGGTCGGGAGCAAGAGAAACAAGGCGGTCGTCATAGTCGAGGGCCTCGACCATGTGGTCCTGCTCAGGGTGCCCCTTGAAGCAGGTGTAGCCATACGCCTCCTCTTCCTCCTGCATCAACGCCTCCAGGGTTGAGGGCCTCCTGATATGGTCCATCGCCCGGACGCAGCTTCACGAGCGCCTTCTCCATCTCCTCGATCTTCTCATGAATGGCCACCGCCACCGCTGCTTTCATGCGCTGGTTTGCCTGGCTGCAGGCCTCCCAAAGCTTGCCACCCTTGATGGCCTTGGCCAAGTTACCCTAAAGCCTAAACCACACTAAACCCTAAACCCTAAACCCCAAACCGCCCTAAACCCTAAACCACCCTAAACCCTAGACCCTAAACCCTAAATGCTTCTTTCTTGAGGTACTCTTCAGGCCCAGCTCGTCCACAGCCTTTGTGGCCTACCCGAAATTTTAAACCTAAAGCCAAGGCCCTAAGCCCTGAAAACCTAAACCTTAAAAACCCCCCAAAAAACCCTAAAAACCCTAAAAACCCTAAGACTCCTAAAGCCCAAACCCCTGACACTCAGAACAACCTAAAACTCCTGGAAACCCTCAGACCCCGAAGCCCCATCAAAGCCCCGAACCCTAAAACTTAAAACTCCTAAAACCCTAAACCCTGGAACCCAAAACTCAAAGTGGTTTAGGGTGGGTTGACGGGTTTAGGGTTTAGGGTTAAGGCCTAAAACCTAAACCTCCTAAAAACCCTAAACCCTGGAACCCAAAAACCCAAAACTGGGTTCTTGTTAGGGGATTTAGTGTAAGTTGAGTTACCATAATAGGGATCCATGGTGAACCCCCCAACCCTAAACCCCTAAAACCTAAACCCAGAACCCTAAACCCTCAAACCCTAAACCCCTAAACCCTAAACCCTCAAACCCTACACCCCTAAAACCCCTAAAACCCCTAAAACCCTAAACCCCTACACCTTAAACTCCTAAAACCCCTAAAGACCCAAAACCGCCCTGTCCTTCAGCGGCAGAAGCTTCGGAACTCCGGGCTGGGCGAGGATCGAGGCTACCCGGCCGGCGGCCTCGCGTGTTGTGAGGTGTCTTTAGGAGTTTGGGGTTTAGGGCTTTAGGG